TTTCATTTTGATGCAAAATCACACATTGACGGTTTCGAGTGGGAAGTGACGGGTCCTGAGCAGAAAACAGAAAGCCTTCTTTTCACTTTTCGGGCCAGCCGACCTCATCCAAGCGAAGGACTCTGCAGAGTTGGTTATCTTCTCAACACACGGCACATAAACTCGATGCAGTGGTCCTTCAGAAAGCCTCGCCTTGAGCCATGGCCGATTTGATCGCTTGGATGAGACTGACGCTCATTTTTGTACCGTCTAGCAGTACAGAACTACCAACATTATCAAGACTGACATTGATATTATGTCCCACATCCTTTACTCGTTTTAGAGAACTGTTGAATGCCTTGTTTTCATCGTGAGGCTTGTCATGCTTCACAAGAGGATCATCAGACAAATAAATGTGTGCAAACGTGCACAAAACAATTCTATCATGAAGAGCCTCCACATTAATCAGACCACGCCCACCCATCATAATTGGTAAATATAAGAGATTGAGAGAAGAGCGAGGATGGTGGGATATATTGTCTGCCATGATTCTTCGTGTGAGGGTGTCAATATCCTGAATTTCTTGTTTCCAAAAGAATACAAAAGGACGGGTACAGCATAAGAATTTGTGACTTTGACTTTATTGCGAGCGTTCAGCTCTGAACTCCAGATTTTCTTCAGTCTACATTTGTACTCTGCCCGAAGTTTGTCCTTGATATGGGCATTCTTGAGTTTGTCCCTAATCTGCATCCCTAAGTACGTATAGGCCTGACCTTCCACGAGATGGTCAATAACTCCTCCCCCAAGTAAACTGACTGATCCTCCCTCTTCGACCTTGCCACGTTTCAAATGAAGCATGTTTCAAAGTTTTTTCAGAAGAAAGGCCATTGGCCCACGTACAATACATTACAAAAATCAATTTTGAGACAGATGTGCGTTTTGTCTAACAAATAGAGAGTTGTACATGCATGCATAACATGACACTAGAGAGTATAATTTTCTTAAACATGGGTTATGACAATAATATTTTGGGAAACATCTGTTTCTTAAATGCAGGATATGGACATACTAACATGAAATGGAACTCATCTTCAACAGCTTGCATGTCACAATAATTACAAAGTCTTTGAGAATATTCCACACCACAGCGTCTACCAATATTTTTCGTCAAGGGTAGCTCACCAGGTCGTAACAGGAAAATAATATGTCTATAACGTTGGCTAGATAATTTTGTTAAATAGAATTCAACGTTCAAAAGTAACTTAAATTCTTTATAGAATGTTACGAGATTCACAAACTTTACTATACCATTCTTGTTAATAACAATCTTTTAGTCTTTATACAAAGGTATCAATAAATATTTTACAATCACCAACTTCTTGCGAAATCCAAACAAATCCCAATCCATAATCAAATAACATTTTTTAACATATGTGACCCATGTAATGCGACCAGCATCATCTAGAGACTTCAATAATAAACCAATATTTTATACACCTTTTATGATGATCAACATACAATCCATATCTTCCACAATCTCCTAGTACTGCTGCACTTGTTACATGATTTCCAACACCCAAAACAAACTGACAAAATTTCAAAAGAAATTTTTCAACTGCCGTCATTTTGTTAAAACCCCACACTTCTGACGAGTACAACAATATGGGCTTTATTTGCCTATCAAAAATCTTAAATAAGGCGGAGATAGGGATATTCTTAAAACGAATTCTTATTTGCTTCAATGCAAAGAGAGCTTTATTAGTCTTTTTCACCAGGGTATTGACGCCCGAAGTCAAACACAAACGGTTTGCAAATATTAAACCCAGGTAGCTGTAATAAGTAGAAACTTTAATATTTATGTTTCCAAATTTCCAATTCTCTGTATTTCTGAGTTTGCCACCATTCCTGAAAACTAAAATTTCAGTTTTATCCAAGTTTACTTGCAATCCCCATTTCAAGCAAAATGTTTAAAGTATATCAATCTTTCTCTGTAGACCAATACCGCTGTCATCAAATAAACATAAGTCATTTGCACATAATAATAACAAAATATAACAGAAAGTCCTGTCCAACAAAAATACCTCTCTGTCCTGAAGATTGCAAAATAAGTTCTAGCTCAACAATAGATAAAGAAAACAACAGAGGACTCAATGGACATCCCTGTCTGACACCACTTAAAGTATCAAAGAAACATGTAATTTCATAATTAGATAACTTAACGGCTGATGTAACTTTGGAGTACATATCTTTAATTACCACAAGAACTCTACCATGTAAACCTTTTCCTAACAAAATATACCACAATTTACGATTTACACAATCAAAGGTTGTTTTTTTAAAATCAACAAATAAACAATAAATCGTTCATTTGTCTTAGATAAGTACTTTTGAATCAAACTCTGCAAAACAAAAATATTATCACCTGTGCTATATCCTGTCCGGAGGCCAGCTTAAGATTATGGAAGCTTTTAAAATATGTCACAAAACAAAGTTAGTCTTTTGTTCTAAATAAATGTAAAAAACTTTACCAAATATATCGCTAAGGGTAATACCCCTATAATTATTAACGTCAGCATTGCTCCCTTTCTTATGAAGTGGTTTCAGAAGACCTCGAGCCCAATCCTCTGGGTACTGTCCCCTCTGCAATATAGTGTTATACAACACGACTAAATATGGAATAAGAATAGCTTTACAACATTTAATCATATGTGGAAGAACTGCGCCAGGACCTGCTGCATTCCCATCTTTCAAATCATTTATAGCATTCAAAACCTCTTCATATGTAATATAACTATTTAAAATATCGCAGCCATCACACGAGCTGCAAACAGCATCAACATTTTCTGAAATAAACATTTCAGCATTATTTAGGTTATCAATATCAACATCAAAATCAGTAATGTTCAATATAGTTCAACCACTCATATGTAGATATGGATGATATAGAATGATCCCTTTGACACATGAGATTCTTAATATTACTCCAAAATACCTCAGAGTTAGATGAATTCGACAAAAGATTAATAACAGTACTGTCTTCATAATCACTTATCTATACATATTTCTTAAACGTCTAAATTCATGAAGATAAGTAAAGTCACCAGTGATCCTAAACATATTAAGGGTATCATATTTTTCACGTTTCAGTTTTTCACAATCACTATCATGCCACACAGCATCCACTCTTTGTCGTGATGACGATTCATGTTGCGTTATACCACAAACATCAGCAGCTTTGGTAATACACGATGTTAAATGAAGCATGTTGCATTTGTCGAGTTTAAAGGACATGCCGATATCATTAGAAAAGGACTCGACAAGCAGAATCTGTTTTTGATTGTAGATCCTCCATTGTCATCCATGTAAGGGTGGTGAGTTAGGGGGATCTGTTCTGAGGAGGTCCCGGGTGAGTATTATTATCATTATGAATACCCTGTTTGAAATGACCGTGCCTTTTCTTTGATATGGTGTCACTCGTAGTTCAAATGACCAAAACTTAAATTATGATTATTGAAGCTATGTCAGTTCACAATTACATCATCAAACTTGCTTCTTGTAATACTGATAATATATTTTTGTATGTAGAATTTGTTTTTATGACGTGTTTTTCAACATTGATAAGCAAATAGAAAGCGATAATCGTCTGTCACCTTTGCAATTCATACAACTGGATCAACATCATTTAATATTCAGATAGAAAAATTATTTCTTTATGTTTTTCAGTTCAGCTCATGTTTTCAAAAGAATGTGGTTGAAAGCTATTGAACGTGACTATTGGTCTACATAAATCCTCTTATTTCCCTGTCATTAGAAACAGTTTAAGTTTGTTTACTATTGATATGAAGCTTACAAAGGTTTTTCGTTCCACATAAATATTTTGATCCAGTACAATTTTATAATTCCATTTTGTGTGCTTTCTCAAATATCTATAAATTTAAAACAAAAAAATATTATCATGTGCATACAGGGAATCCAACCTAATCACATTTTAGGTGAAAATACAACTCCACTTTATTTATTACAGGAAACAACATTTATTTGGAAACATTACCAAATAGGATTACACAATATGTTTGTGATAATATAGGCTTTATAACAGGCGTAATTTCGACAATGCGCTAATATTACGACTCATTGCAATGGGCCTTTCGCAAACATTGTAAGAATGGAGCAATAGACGTGAACTAGCCAAGCAGCATAGAGTCCAAAAATGCTCAGTGAGAATACTAGTAACTGGAAATGATTGCATTAATATCCTTGCCCTTTTGGGTAATATATGTACATAACGCTGAGCAGTTAGATGAAGTGTAAGTAAGGAAGCGAATGTATCTATTCTATGTCACAGATAATTAAAGATAGTTAATATCTTGGCACAACGCATTGTAAATATTTGAAAGTATGAATTCTATGGTTTGATTTTTCCCGCGATCTTTAAAAAAATTGGATTATATTACTAACTGTGACCGTCTGACAAGATAAGTCCGATTATTTTTTTTAAGAACATGGAAATAACAATGTTATCAATTTTCTTTCGTGCAAAATCATGTATTACTGATTACGTATTACTGATTACTGATTTATTACACTCCTAAATTTACTGGTAATCTCAAAGCTTCCTAAACATGTTTACATTAGATAAGATTGTCACATGACGTGTGCACTAGGCTATTGTACATTTCCAAGTAATACGCTCACGTTTTCGCGGAACTCAACCTCGGTAAATCCTACAGTTCTTCAATACTCTTTGTTTACTCATAAACAAAAAAATGGAAGATTATCTTATTGAAAAGGTATGTTTTATTCCTCATCAGCCATACACTGTGTAGGTGCACAAGGAGATGTTATGTTCAAATATTTTCATAAAGATTTGGGCATCTGAAGTTTGGTTATTTTCTTCTGTATATCTGCTGTTTCAGTTGTGACCCCCATTGGTCTTGTTATCTAATTACTATATGCATATATATATACGGTCTTTGTCATCATTAATGTATTATCACCTTGTCACTATGGAAACTGTTGGAAAGGCTGCGGCTGTTGTTCTTACGAATTCATAATTATCGTGTTTGTTGTATTATTTCTATGAAATCACAGCCATGTGATCATTTCGTCCCTCGACGCAAGAAGTGTCTGCAGATTGACGGTACGTATATTCTGATGTACAAACGCTAAAGGATATAAATCGATTTTCATATCACGTATGAGTGAGTGAGTGAGTGAGTGAGTGAATTTTGTTTAACGCCGATTTGAATATTCAGATTCTGGTAGGGCCACCAACCTCATCCAAATGTAATGTGTGTTAAACTTCCTGGTCTAGGGCTGCTCAACACGTGAGGTCATAAATCACCAGTGTTTGATAACGTCTGCAGTGCAGGCAAGATACTGGCCAATAGGTGTAACAGATGGATTGTGTGGCAGGTTTTCAATACTGAGAGGAAAGTAAAACACGATATCGTATTACTAATTGTAACACTTCTTCCTCAGTCTGAGGTGATACTGGTAAGTTATATTGATTTTGAAAACAACAACTTTTTAAATGTATATGCTCTGTTAGAGCTGTCATTGTATGAGCTAATGGTATTATTTTACGGAAACATTTGCAAACATTTTGAGACAAACACTATATATTCTATTCCAACCACTTCTTGCTGGTTATGTTCGCCTAGTGTTATGTATATAGAACTGAATTTACATGACAATTCAAGTTTGGGTGCTATAAAGTGTCATATCACATAAAAAATATTCCTGTCTTCTAAAATAGAACCGACTGTGTCTATTCTGAGGGTTGATAAATAATATCGATCACAATTCATTTTTTCAATGTATCATGATAATCTGTACATGACGACATGTTTTTCTATTTAACTGATACCTTACGCCGCTAGTTGTCTTTAAATGTATTAACCGAGGGGTTACATACGAGAATGAAAGGGTGACGTTATTGTTGTTTTATTACCAATATGGTTAGAAATAACCGAATTCATAAAAATCGTATGTGCACTTCACGCCCCTGTTTCACACGAAAGTATGAAATGTGCTCCATATATAGATGAAATTGGCAGTAAAAGGAATAAGTAAAGTAAATATAAGCGACAAAACCCTTTTTTCATATTCATAAGAAATCTCTGCCAAAGCTGAATCGAATGTACTATTGCGAGTAATGAGGGATATTGCAGACCGAGAAGGTAAAAATGGTATTTTGCCACAACATATGATTATCTGAGGGTATCCTATGGTTACATGAAATAATAACACTTGATTTCAGGCAAAGAACAGTAAGAAAAAACATCCCATATGGAACACCTGGCCGTTGTCCTGACACGTACAAGTTGACATTTGTGCTTGATGTGATAATCATGTTATCTGACAAGACAAGAGAAATTTCCACAAAAATCAACTCCCTCTTCACTTTTCATACAAGGACGTGGACCACATACTGCATTGTTACATTACCAGATGTATAAAAAAGAAATATTAGCACGAGGCGAATCGCGAACATTTCACATTGAAATGAACGACATAGTTCACGAGCGTTAGATGTTCAAGAAATATCACGTGACAAGTTTATTTACATATTGATATTCGTTTCCAATTCTTGCTTCAGAACTCCTACTTTCTTTGAAGGGGAATCTCTAAACCTCTGGAAGACAAGGCGGTGACATGGGTAAGTGATAGTTATGTCATTCTCACCTTGTAATTGGGTCTAATTATGGTGACGAGCCTTTTTAGCAGACACCGCAAATTGGCATGTGTTGTGTGGTACCCACATAGGAAAGTCCTTAAAATGTGCTTATGCCAGGTTTTCTTGTGACGACGGGATGTCACTTCTCAATTTGTTTTCTCTATTTCTGTTTTATTGTGACGATATTAGCCACACATGACTTATCCATGAAATCTTACTTAAACCTGGTGAGGATGAACCTCCTTAATGTATCCCTAAAGTAAAAGAATAGGAACATTTAGAAATGATCCAAATTTTGTAAAATTATAATACTGTTATTTTACCCCATCAATATGTCTCGTAACTGAACCCTATAACCCTGTATGTTTATTTACTGAAGCCACTGCTCGGTAAATCTGTTGATATATATAGTATATTTGCATGTAGTGATAAAAATGTTGATGAATTAATGCTGTACCTCTAATGCCGATGATAGCGCTCTGAGAGAAATAAAGCATATTCTGCATGTATGTATGCTTTTTAGAGTATTTTAAATTGTTGTCACCTCATAGTGTCACATAAATCCATACTGATTGGGGAAAATGTCATTAACCAGAATTTTAAGGTTTTCGACAGTTAGTATCTTTTTATTTATGGCTAAAATGGTTAAGGCATACATAAAAGTAACCAGGGTGATCACGTAAAAAAATCCTATTAGGGCTGATGGTTTATAGTCCATGTTTTAAATAGTTCTGTAATTGAAATAAGAAAATGCCCTTAAAATAACATAACATCTGTTATATTTCTAGAATTGTTTTACTGTTTTATGGGTGTTTAAATACTCTATCTTATTTTCTCGTTGATACATAGCTGAAAGGTAAACTCTAAACACATTTTGTTTTCTCTGGATACAACTGGCGTGTATGAAAACGATGGAAACGTCAGATTGAAATAATTACAAACACGTTGAAATCCATTAGTCACTGCTGTCTTCATTGAATTTGTTCAGTATTGTATGATTGTTAATTGATAAACACATCTCTCACTTTTTAATTACAGATGAACAGGGACGTCAATCTAATAAAAACATGGATTGTTTTTCGCGTGTCTCTACATGGTACCAGAACCGATTCAGAACTCTTGGAACCCTGATTGGCTCCAATCCTATCAAGCTGATCGCGTTGTCATTACTCGTGACTGCTGGTCTTAGCTGTGGGATGTTGAGACTGACATCGGAGTCGGACACAGAAACTCTGTATACCCCAGTGGGAAGCCAGGCGTCCAAGGACAGAGCGAAGATCCAGGCTGTATTTAAAGACGACACCGGCAACAACTTCTCCCCACGTTCATTGACAAAATCCGATCTGTATGGAGACGTTATATTTTCAGCTGCAAATGTTATTGACTCAATGTCTACTATAAAATTCTATATAGATTATATCAAGAACATACATGTAACGCAAAACAATATTGAGTATGCATACTCTGATGTATGTGCCAGACAAGATGGAAACTGCTACAGATCTGGGGATACATTCAATGACACTATTACCGTTGGCATAACTTATCCAGTGTGGAACAATGTAGATTTATCTCAAATCTTAGGGAAAGTCCATGCAAACCAAGGTAAATTAGTTTCAGCGGGGTATCTGAAAGTAACCTTCCACCTGAGGCAGGACTCGGACACCCTTCGTGCTGCAGCGGTTGCCTGGGAAGATGAGTTTATTAAAGTAATGTCAAGTTTGAGACCTGACAACGTAACCATCAACTATGCCACATCGCAGTCACTGGACAAGGAACTAAATGCCAACACTGGCGGCGACATCACTTACTTCTCAATAACGTTCACGTTGATGATCGCGTACGCAACAATTGTCGCTGGTGGAGACATGGTGTCATCGAGGACATGGGCGTCCTGGGCGGGTGTTCTAGCAGCTGGAATGGGGATAGCGTCTGCCTTTGGTCTTGTCAGTCTGTGTGGAATGAAGTTTGTCAACATTGTTGGGACGATGCCATTTCTGGTCCTAGGTATCTGCATATCTACAATATACACGTAGAACGCTCCTAATTGATTCAATAAAGTAAATATAAATTACAGCCTACTTTCATCAAGCCTTGTGACATCATTTACTTCACAATAACGTTAAATAAAGCTCAGTCACATGAATGATGTCCGATGCAATTCCCTATTTTGAATTATACCATATGTTCCCGTGGGTGTTTTTTCATCTGAACTGAATTGACTTGCCTTTACATTGGATTGTGATTCATAAACACATGCTCATTATATAGTCGGAATCGTACAATCGACTCAGCTTTTGACGGAGGTATCTTTTGAATGTGGAAAGGGTTATATTGCTTTTATTTGAAACTGATTTTACAACAGGTATTGGTGTGGACGACATGTTCCTGTTGATGTCCAGCTGGGCGGAGACCTACCCTCACCAAGACAAGTCCGTGTCCGAGAGGATGGGAATGACCTTTGCCGCGGCGGGTATCGGTATCACCATCACGTCCCTCACTGATCTCCTGGCCTTCATAATTGGAACATCATCCGTCTTCATCAGCGTCCGGAATTTTTGTGTATATACAGGTATTGATTCTCATTCATGAATGAATGAATGAATGAATGAATGAATGAATGAATGAATGAATGAATGAATGGGGGTGGAATTATAATTCATAATGTGAGGGAGGGAGTTATTTCCATCATGGCAATGCTAACATAGAAGATCAGTATTCCATTTAATATACATGTACAGATTTTTTATTAAATTATGCTTTTTCATATACTGACTATGTATCGTTCTACAAATGATGCCATATATGTTCTCCCAGGAGTGGCCGTCATCTTCTCCTACCTGTACCAGTGCTTCTTCTTCGCACCCTGTCTAAGTCTTCACGGACGCCGGGTAGAGGAAAAGCGCCACTGCCTGACCTGCCTGAGGGTGAAGAGTCGGAAGGACTACAAGAAGGAGAAGAAAACATTTCTCCAAGTGTACTTATGTGGAGGAGCACCTCCTAATAAAAGGGGGCAGGATGAAAGCATATGCGAGACTGGTCCAAGAAAAGTACTCCCAGTCATACTCCTTCATGTTGTTGGTAAAATAACAGTCATAGTTGTGTTTTTAGCATACCTTGGTGTCGCGATATATGGTGTTGTGAACCTGAAGCAAGGTCTTGATTTAAAGAATCTGGTTTCACCATCCTCCCATTTCTATTCCTATACTGATACCAAAGACACGTACTTTCCCAATACTTTCCCAATTCCTTTCATATTTGAAGACTCGACCAACTATTGGAACAAAGAAACAATAGCACATATTAACAAATTGCTTGCTGATGCACAAACAGATAGTGAAGTAAATTCATTATCATCCATTTGTTGGTTGAATAATTACATAAACTCTCCAAATTTTAACAATAGGAGTGAGACAAATTTTGTATCAGGAGTGCACATCTTTCTGAATATTACACCAACATTCCAAAACGACGTGGCTTTTGACGGTAACGGTGGGCATATCATTGCGAGTCGCTGTTATCTGTTCTCTGATGATATCAAGGACTCAAATGAGCAGGCTAGAGTGATGACTCGGATGCGAGAGCTGACCGATAGCTCTCCCCTGTCAGTTTACACTTACTACCCTGCCTTCATTTTCTTCGAGCAGTACGTCGCCATCCTGCCCAGCACTCTTCAGACGGTGGGGGTAGCTCTTGTCGTTATGACGGTGGTCACGTGTATCTTCATGCCACACCCCCTCATGATAATACTAGTTGTTCTCAACATTGTATCCATTCTGATCGGGATATTCGGCTTCCTGTACTTCTGGGATCTTAGTCTCAGCTCGATCACCATGATCCATCTCATTATGTCTGTCGGCTTCTCGGTTGATTTCAGCGTCCACGTCTGTTCGGCCTTCATGCTGGGGACAGGTAGCACTCGTCATGAAAAAGCCAAATATGCTATTGTCCATGCTTCTGGTCCCATACTAAATGGTGCCCTCTCCTCCTTTCTTGGTGTCATCATCCTGGTTTTTTCTGAGTCCTACATCTTCAAATCCTTCTTCAACATAATGCTCACGGTCATGTTGTTCGGTATGCTGCATGCAGTGTTTCTTCTTCCAGTGATTCTGTCCCTAATTGGACCGATGGGCTCACCTGGAAAAAATCCTGACCCACCTCGTCGAGCTGTTTCAGTAGTTGGAGAAACAACTAATTAACATACTTACTCTTCTGAAACATTGAATATCATTTTGTTATACATTTGATGAATTCTATGCTCAAGGCCATTGGCAACAAACATGTTCATGAGACGATAATTATTCTGTAGATAATATATTAGAAAATATACTTTATTGTTCACCGTTTCTTAGAATATTGAGAGGGGTTGTTCAAAACACAAACCTTTTAATCAAGTTTCGTCTGGAGCTCGTCTCGTTTTACGTATTTACAGCTAACCAATGAATGAACACGTGTTTCCAAAGGATCTTTAAAACACAGATTTAACGTGTTTCATCGGGTTTTAGTAAACGAGGATGCGTTTGAACGTTAATACTTTCTTTTCAAAAACCCGTTTTAGTTAACAAAACTTCCAGATGATAGAGGAAATGGGGAACTATAATATGATATCGGCAACCAACTATCCAGTGTGGATCTGCTCACTCCATAACCAAAAAAGCATGTTTACCTCTAGCAAGTTCATTATAATTTATTCCACTTTAAAATATAAATATAGTATTCCACCTGATTTTTAATGTCGATATTGTTGTTGAAATGTCACAGTTGTTACCAAAAACATAACACAGGAGATGTGAATGAAATGAGTAGACAAGTTCACGTGTGCAGTTATAGAGTTACTGACTGATTGTCAATGTTCAAACTATGATTTGCCGCGAATAGCTGCAAAATTGCTGATGCGGCGTTAAGCAATATTCACTCACTCAAACTATGATACTTTTTGACGACATTTTAAACCCGAGCGAGCATGGGAACCCATTCTTTATTTGATTTTCTGATACGAAAATCTGTGCTTAACTTTTGTTGTCAAAATTTCAATAAATTGTCTATTTAATGGAAACATCTATATGCCTTAATCATCCGTTTTTGAAGAATGCAATTGTTCAACAGACAGTTTTTAATCACTTGTTATCAAATATTTGTCTGCCATTAATATAGATAGCCTAGGTGTTGTTTTTAAACGAAATAAAATACAATTACTTTTGCTAGAAAAAGATTACATATACTCTTTATACAAATATACTATACACATATTTCGCATATCGCAAAGTATGCCGTCATATTGAATGAAGGTAAAATATACTTACGACAGGTATGGAGCTATCTTAGATCTACGATAAACTTAAGATATCTTAGGGCTACGATAGTTTCGAAAATAGGCTACGATAGCCTACGATTTCCTTACGATAACTTTACGATAATTTTAGGGCTACGATCGTTTCGAAAATCTAGGCCCTGTGCTTTAAATACTTTTTACATTGGGGACAGTCCAGTTTGCCTTCAGTCACTGAGGACCGCCTCCGTGGTCGAGTGGCAGAGCGTCAGCCCGGAGTTCGATCGCGATCCCTGGCCGCGTCATACCAAAAGACGTTAAAAGATGGTACTTAAATTGTTGTAACTCTGTCTGGCGCTCGTCATTAAGGACTATACTGTGTCTGAGTGGGGTATTCATGTTAAACTGCGGCATGGTAGCTCAGTGTGCTAAACCGGCATGTGATAAATCGGCATCAGTCTGGACTAAACTTTACTATTTATTCAGATACATTATTGTTTGAAGTGAAAATATCATTATCATTATTATTTATCATCTATCTCTTCGATAGAAAATGAGATTAATATATTACCCTGAGAAAGGTTACAATGTGGCAGTTTATGAAGAATAACAAATGAATAACATATTTGTTTGTTTGAAATTTGATTCTGAGTTCCCTTCTGCAATTTGCAATGATCAATAGCATCGAAGTTATATCTGCTTTGTTTCTAACTAATAATAATCATCAATGTAGAGAAGAGCCAGAGATACAGATACATAACACATTGATCTACACTTAAATATTTTTATCAAAATACAAAATAACCGATCTAATGATTGTTTGATTCATTTGCAAATAAAGTTTATACTCGTACATCTTCGTATATTGAGGGGAGCACGGGTGGCCCAGTCGTCTATGGCGCCGCGATTCGTTGTGCAGAGTTGCATCCCTTGGGCACGCCAGAAACCTATGATAGTGGGTTCGAATTCCGGTTCGCCCCGATTATGTTTCTAGGTTTGTCAGCACCATACCCGTGCTCGTGGGTTTCACCGAAGTGGTAAACGTCTGAGACCTGCATCATTTTGGGCTTTCCTCCCACATTCAGCTGACACGCCGCGATAAAACTGAAATACTGTTAAAAGCGGCGTTAAACCCAACTCACTCACTCACTCGTATATTGAAGTGACATGCCCTTCCGTCTGTTACTATAATGTTAGTATGACTCATGTTACTATGACGGGATTCAAGGTTTCTCAAGCCATCAAAAATGGATCTTTGAGTTGAAACTTAATCTTCTCAAAAAGGATCTGCCGCCTGCACCTAGTTTGTGTAGTACTAGGTTTGTTCAAGGCACTTGGTCAGCAATCAAATAAAGTTGTCATATTGGAGAAGAAGAAAACGTGGGTCATCCGTCGAAAGCATCTTCTCAGAAACCACTGGACCGGTAAAGCTAAATCTTGACATGCTTCTTTTCACCAGTCATGACACCTAAATTTGTCCAAGTGGTTCGAAACTGATTTTCAATTTGACCTCAACGCAGCCACATTAAAAAATCCTATTCATGGCCATTACCCAGTCATGCTCTTTTGAAAATATAATGAAATGAAAATCATGTGTAGTTAGCAGTTGGGCTCAACATATGTCGTCCATATTTAAAAGTTTGGCCTTGATTTGAACTTTGCAGTACGGCCAAAATGAAAATGGAAACTGTTTTATAGACATTACTCAGCCATTTCTGTTCAAAATATCATGATAATTGGTATGAGTGTAGTTAGTAGTGGAGCTCAGCACATACTTTCCGTTTTTATTTATATTTTAAGTTTGGCCGCAATGGCAGTTATAATGAAAAAGATATTTAGACTGCTCAGCGCCATTTCTGCTTAAAGTGTACTGTTATGCTCTAGAATTATCTCAAGATGCATTTGGCTTAATTGACATCTTCTTTGAAAGTGTCAGACTGTGGAAGCTGAGGCTAAAAACATCACATTATGTTCAAATCATTTGGATTTTACTGTATATTCATAAGCACTTGAAACAATTGTGTAGCATTAGAACAAAGTCTCCTAAGAAGATATATATCACTGAAAGTTGAAACTTTCTGTAAAGTTAAGTCAATCGTTGTGCTTTGCAAAATGTTATACAACAGTATTCTTGCAGATTTGGAAACGTTGTGGTACTTTTGTTGTTTTTGTTAAATGTATTTATGCGTTTTTCTTCAGTATTTATGCAGAAAAAAATTTAGTAGTAATGCTGACAGCAACTTTATACGTGACTGTCTTTCTTATTCCTACTCTGTAAATATGCTTTTATGATCAGCTTCACAAAGTATTCACTCATGTGTATCAAATGAGGTGCAAAACAGCACAAACATATTCCCGTAATATCCAATGATGTAATATTAGTGTCATGTAATCTATATAATTTGTTACAATGTACAATTCGAGTGTTGAAAATAAAGTCAATAGATCAAGTTATCGTTTCATGTGAAATGTTTCCGTATCTGAAACGGTAAGAAAGAAGGTTGATAGTAGATTTACAAGTATTCGACAGCGTCCTTACATTTTACGATGGTCAGTAAAGTGTCAATCCATCTGGAGCCGAGTGATCACTTCAGCTTACCTGTAGCCAACTTTCCCTTTATGTCGAGCAATAATCCAGCGTATAATAACTAGCTGTACATGTAAAACAACCAGCTTTACATGAAAAGGGCAGTCTTTACGCGGAATGAATGTAGCATCTTCTGACGCTATCCGGTAACCATACGCGATTAACGTGTGTATGTTTACGCATATGTTATTTATCAATAATTTCGACACTGATGTCATGGAGGAATATATATATACACAAAAACACGAGTCAATTGAGCAAATTGCTTCGCTGTAACATGACAGTACAATAAGCAGGGAAACTTGATAAGTACTTTTCGATTGTTGTTTTGACTAAAACAAACGATTTCTCTATTAAGCAATTCCATGAGAGGCTCAGAACTTTGTCAAACATCTAAGCTCTGCTACACACGTACACTGACAGTAACACATGCAAGTTAAGTATTATGATTTAAAAGAACAATGTTTAATACACAGCGCCATACTTTTTTTTCAAATGCTAGTATTGGTCTTTCCTTATATTAATTTCTTACAACCCACTCAAACATTGAACAGAACCAATACTGCTTTACTCAAAAGAATTCATGTTTACCTTTTTCATGGTACAATGGAGATAAACCTACTGTGTTTTTAATGTAGATCTAGAGATGCGCGTTCTATTCCAAACTCAATTATACGCGGTCGAATCTTCAGGTAACCATCTCTATATTGCAAACACGGTATCTTTACCTCCAAATTGAATCAAGTTGTGATGTGAAACTGATATAGTTTGTTTCAAATAATATGAATGCCATGTTGGCAAAAAAGATGTTCAAAGACATGATATTTGTGACAAAACTGTGAATACGTTCATATAAAAAATAACAATTCATTATTTCGAAGGTTTTCATATGCAATGTTATCGACAAATTGAGACACAATGTTTTTCCAAGAAAGCAATTGGTCATATGTCATACAAATCATGTTTCAACAAAAGTACGATTGAATATACAATGCCATTTAGAAAGTGGTCAAATGTAACAAATGTTATATTTGGGATAACACTTTCTTAGTACAGATTCTCGTACTTTTTGGAGTTGAGGCCCGTCCGGGATTCGAACCCACACTTGCCAGAGTGAGCACCTAACGCCAGCACACAAAGTCAGCGATCTCACCCACGCAGCCACCGAGGCTTCAACATAAATGAAAGTCCGACAACTGGTCGTCTAGATCACGTACTTTGAGTACCCCTCTGACAAGTGTAAATTGGCACGGCGCCCATGGCCGAAAGCTATGATTACACATTGCCATTTAGAAAGTGGTCAAATGTAACAAATGTTATGTTTGGGATAACACTTTCTTAGTAAAGTACAGATTCTCGTACTTTTTGGAGTTGAGTCCCGTCCGGGATTCGAACCCACACTTACCAGAGTGAGGCACCTAATCGCCATCAAACTTTCTAAATGGCATTGTGTATTAATAGCTTTCGGCCATGGGAGCCGTGCCAATTTACACTTGTCAGAGGGGTACTCAAAGTACGTGATCTAGACTACCAGTTGTCGGTCTTTCATTTTTGTGGAAGCCTCGGTGGCTGAGTGGGTTAGATCGCTGACTTTGAGCGCTGGCGATTAGGTGCCGATTATGGATGATAGCCGTCAAGGGAGATTTGGTTTAGTTGCTCGATAGAACTACTTGGTGGTGTCTAACGTTTGATGGGTATATCGATGACGTCACAACGCCGCTGAAAATGTCGGCCAACAGTGTGAAGAGTAACATCTGTTGCCAACTTCACCACAAGAGAGTAAATTATTAAACTAGATTTGTATACATATGGGTCCTGGATAACAGTTCAAGATCCCTTTAATTTGAACGTATCGGTGTTGGGGTGAAATTGGGTTTAACGTGCGTTCAAAATTGATTTACTTACATAGCTACGTGCGTGCACGTGTGTGTGTGTGTGTGTATGTGTGCGTGCGTGCGTGCGTGCGTGTATGTGTGTGTGCTAGTCTGGACAAATGCCGATTTTATAGTGCAAGCCCACTGAGATATCAAGTCACTTATAACATGAATACTCCACTCAGACACAGTATACTGACTCCGAGCAGACCAGTCCTTGTTTTAGTTCCTTAATGCCGAGCGCCAAGCAGGGTAATAACAAGTACCATTTCCGGGAGGACGCTCTACCACTAGACCACGGAGGCGGCTTGAACGTATCGAATGTGACTGACGTCCTTGAAATAGGGTGCGGTTACGGCAATCACTTTTTTCAAATATGAATAGTTGATAAAGCAGCTCAAAATCAAGGGTAACCTTTTGGTTGATTCTAGCAGAAGCTGAAAAATTCGTTTAAATAAAATATCATTATCAAAGGAAATTGGAAAGGGAAATGCTTGCTATAAATACGTTAATTTCATTTTTGCTGTAGTTAAACGATAAAACTAGTACATACATATATAGAGGTTATCACGCTTGTGTGTTTGGGGATGGTAAATATCCTGCATTAGGAATAAACATTGTATTTAGCGAGCCTTGGCAATATTCCAGCTATATGACGGCGGTCTGTAAATAATCGAGTCTGGACCAGACAATCCGGTGATTGACAACATGAGCATCGATCCACGCAATTGTGACCGATGACATGCATCAACCAAGTCACCGAGCCTGACCACCCGATCCCGTAAGTCGCCTTTTACGACAAGCATAGTCGCCTTTTACGGCAAGCATGGGTTGTTGAAGACATATTC